ATTGGTAGATTATACATTTTAAAAGCCTTCAAGCAAACGCTTGATGGTCGCTGCAAAAGTTAATTGTTTCGTATGTAGCTGCTGCATACCTGACGAAGACTTGGTGAAGCACCATCGAAACGCTCTTTGGATGCCTATCGTTTAAAATATAAGTACATATAGCCAACCGAACACGTATTTTATGATTCACTTATGCATTTATGTCAAGATTCTGCTTTTATTCCCTCGATCGTTTCTAGTGTTGTATGCGGAAAGTGATCATACAGAGCGGGTGTGGACAAAGCTGTACAAAACGAACCCCTGCGTATTGCATGAGAGCACGGAGAAGCTCCAGCAGTTGCGTCTGGCCATTCGTGGGGGTGTCTGCAAAGAGATTGGCTAATTCTTCGGCTGGAGGAAGAGAAGACAAAACGGCCTCGCCAGTAATGGTGAAGACGATAGTCGTCCCGCTTTCTGACGGAGCCCAGTCAAACAATTCCTTGATGGGTGTAGTAGTTTCGATGTGCAAGTAAAATTCGTCAGCAAGGCCAGCTTCGTTCGGATCTGTGGCATTAAACACAGTAACGTTGCTTGAATACATAAAATTATGATGCGTAAGAAGCATATTTTAGAAGTCTCGGCTCAGACTCTATTTGACGGAGGAAAACGTTACTCATACTAGCCGATTTCAATGGTAATATGGAGATCGAGACGCCATGCACTACATGACTAACATTTTGCATCAGCAGTTTTTGCAGTTTTTTATTATCTTCAGAGGGTAACGTGTAGGCACACTCTTCTAGTTCCTGATATAGTTCGACCATCGTGAACGACTTGAACTGCCGCTGTTCCGTGAGTCGTGCTCAACAGTAATTTGTGTGTGCATTCGTTTATAGTGGAGCAGGCATTCGCTGCACCTGTCTCACACCCTCTACACCTACCATCCTTGGATGACAAAAGACGGTCAGATAGTATTGCCGGCAAAGACAAGGGAGACTAGAATGGCCACTTCTAGCTTATTAGCCGTCGTCAGCCAGTCATACCCAGATTGCATTACCTAGACCAGGGGTCGACAACCTTCTTGACTCAGAGAGCCAAGAAAGTAAATATTTGAAAATTTATTTCAGTGAGAGCCATATAATATGTATTAAGATAGAGTTCAATTAAATGTAAGTATAATAAGCCTCTGGATCTATTCATGGAGGAACCAAAATCACAAAATCTGAAGTTTCTAATTCCAATTTTATCTGAGAGAGCCAGACGCCTGGCACACCTAGCTCGCGAGCCATGGGTTGCCGACCCCGGGCCTAGACAGTCAACAAGACGAATGCTAGCTGACAAATCTAAACAGCCCGCTTAGACGTGCCACACACACCACCTGAGCTCTATCCACGCATGCATCAGGCCTCGGTCAGTGGCAGAGCGCTAAAGGCAACATGATTTTCCTGTATTTGTGCAAGATACCTGCAAAGGAACATTTAAGCGCATTCGCTCATTTCACAATTTGTTTACGGAGGCAAACGCTTAAGGTGATTAAGGATTTAATTCTGATATCGGTAAATAAATTAAAATTTTCAGGTCGGCTGACTAGACGATAGAAGAATCTAATATCGGCGTTCCTAGACTCCTAGTCGACGGTTTCCCTTGCTTGAAAATTAAGTAACTCTGTGTGTGCTGTATTGGAGCGCTTACTCATCGCGTTACGGAACACACGCGCGTCATGTTGTGTCTTGGAGCTCACTATCTAGCCTCGCCACTGAGCGGCTGGGTATGGCTGGCAAGATGACGACTAATAAGCCCGAAATGGCCATTTCAGTTTCCCTTGTCTTCTTCGCAAATGCTATCCTGTCTAGTAAATAATATCGCTGACCGGCTGCGACGGAGTTCGAGCCTGAGTCTCGTGGCACAACGGGACGGTTATGTCTGGTAACGTGATCGGTGTTTACTATTAACATGCCATATTGCAAGCGACAGAACACTGAGCCCGTGGCTCAATGCTCACGGCATTGGAATTTCAACCAATAGGCCAAAGAAGCTAACTGCACCCGTTGAAAACCTGGGGTTTGGGCATGGTTGGCTGATGTCAATTAATAAGCCAAAAGCGTACATTCCAGGCCCCTATAGGTTCTTTCTATAATATAATTCTGCCCAAAATTTGTTCTTTCCTTCTCTATAATCTTGGTCTGTTGCAAGTACGAAACATAGTTAGGCTCGAGTCTGATGCTACACAATTTATTGTTTTTGAGGCAAATTAAAACAAATTCCGATACTGAAATACTGAAGTTGGAGCACTTTTCTGATGTTCAAAGTGGACATTAAATATGTCAGTAAACCTAAAGTTTTAGGTATTAAACGTGTTGCGATAGTTATTCAAAGTTACCAACTATCGCTCTTGTAGTTTTTTAGTAGGGTTCTGGAGCTGAGTTAACAAATTGGTAAGCATAGCATAGTCTGCGTATTTCAAGCAGTTTCTGCCCATTTTAATTTGAAGTTTACTAAGCTATCAAGGTGTCAGGGCTTTAGAGACGGGAAGATTTTAACAGCAACTTTCACAGAAGAATTATGCTTTTTCAGAAAATACTCACAGCTCAAGTTGACTTCACTTATAGCCTCCGGGAAAAGATGCAATGTCTCCCACGTCTGCTCGCCCGGTGAATCCTATAGCAATTAAATCAAATAACATAAGGGTACAACAAAATGATGTCTTCAGCACACAAGACCTGATAAACAAATAAATCACTGACCCTGAAGTTACCCAAAAAACCTGTCACTAAAAGGATTGTGACAACAGATTCTAGTAAGCATATTTTATAAGGCTAGATCAGCTAACTAAAATGTCATCTAGGTGGCGCAATCAAGCAGCAGAAGAAATAGAAGGGTATTTGCCTTATTTCTGAGTTAAACAAGTTTAAGTCCTTAAAATAAGTCTGCTAAACATGTCACCCATTATTTCTAGCTCAATTAATCTGAGAAGTTGAAGGCATCGGTTTTTACACGTTTTTAGTATCCCTAAGGTGTCACTTAGCCACTGCCAGAAACAATGCGAAACCGAGAAAATGTTAGTGAAAATATACAATCGGCTTTCAAGTGTGCGCTTTCTTAGAATTGGTAAATTGTACGCTGGACTTGGTCTGAATATATTTTCCCTGCGAAAACTTCATCGTGTCAGAATTAATGAGCTTTTCCTCTGAAATGCCGCACTCGAAAGCATGCATATATAACCGATCAAGACAATTTCCTCTTCAGGCCTGGGCGTGCAGTTCTGTATAGCATCATAACTTCGCTTAGGGGTAGATATTCGTGTGCTGTCAAGCACACTATGAAGCCAACTTATTGATGCTTGGTTTACAGACCTAAATGCAAAGGCGATTAAGGAAGACAATAAATTTCCCGGCTAAATCTTGAGACAATATTTCTAAATCAATCCTTTTACTCGTCTCTCAGTTATGAAATCGGTTGCAAGATTGAAGTTAAAAACAAAATAACGACGGTACTCCTCATCCCTTGTCACGTTGCAGAACTTTAATGTAATCATAAACATAATGGGCAAGCCTATGATGTGTTCGAAAACCCGCAAGATGTTGAGATATCATAGCCGAGGATGAGGAGCATTATGGCTTGCTCAACCTGGTAACTGAATGTGCTACTTCACCAGGACTGAATCAGTCAGCTTAAGACCAGTATAATTAGTGTCTACATCTCGACGGTCATATTCCCACCATGTATTGCCGGGTTTAAGTTTCAGCTGCAAACACCGACGAATAAAAAGGCCAGCGTCCCCTACAAATCTTCTTTACTGCATCCGGCCACTTTTTTACTTTACCACCGCGGTAGTGTCGCCGATGCACAAATGGCTTTCGAGGTTGTAAATCGCAGTCGCGTGCACAGCTGAGCAGACATAATGAGCCGATAAAATGTCTATGTGGACCGCATAGCATTGCATTACCGGTGGGAGGCGCCGCCCATCAACGGAGAAGTTTCGCATTCAAGACTTGATCTGTCAGCCGGAAACCTTATTAGTCTCCGGAAACATCAGTTGCCAACTGTCTGTTTGAGAGGGTAAATAACCTTAAATAAATTCATCCTAGGATCTCTGGTTTTGCCGTTATTCAAAAAGGAGACAGAATGAGCATCTAAGGATTAAGGAGGATGTGGAATACGTGATTTATTCCGTTCTAGTACCTTTCGGTAATGGAGGGGACTTCAGACTACCGACGTAGTCAAAAACCTCCAGTTTCTCATCAGCAACTGAATGGACAGCTTTTAGAACCTTAAGCTGTTGTCCAAAGCAAACCACCCCGGATTCCCGATTATAAAGTGATGGCGAAGGCATATTCAGATTACTACACAAACAATTGACCAGTAGTATTAAAAAGGGTATCAGACCTCTTACTTTTTCCAACTGTTCTTATGATGAGGCTGTAGATTAAGGTAAACTGCTGCAGTTCCAACGGTTTACCACCAAGGTGGTGTCTGGTGAATCCAAATGCAACGGCGTGCGTCTTCCCAAGCGAAAATGACGGATGTAAAGGCACGGATGGACCGCAGTTCAGCAGCACAAATAGCATATTAGTTAGATATAATTACAAATCATCTATATAGTGAGTGCTCCCGTTTCTGACACGAATCTCAGGTGGTAACCAGACATGTTTTTGAAATGTAGTCTAATTTTTGCAGCTTAGAAAATGCAAAAAAGTCCTTGTTGTTTCTATTATTAAGAGTTAATAGTTCTTATGTCTCACGACTAGACACAAGCCCACAAAAGAGAGCTGGATATAATATCTGCTCAGTCGTACATAAAACCAGATATAAAATAAGCCAGCATTCCTTGTAGCAGCCTTTCTGTAGAAGAAAACGTAAGGGTCTCTACGACACATACCGCGTCATTAAATAAAGGACCGATAGGCGGTGGGCGACAATAAGAGGTTATGCGTTCAGACACCAAGTTAACGTCCAGCCAGAAACAACTGCCATCTGTTGTTGGGCGTAAAAGCTAAAAAGTTGGAAACTCGACATTATAAAGAAAATAGCAATAAATTAGGCTCAATCTATTGGAACTGTATAAACATTTCACAGGTTTGTACGGTCTCCTTCAGAAAAATATTTATGAGTGAAGATCAACCAAAATGAATAATGTACAAAAAACTTGATAATTTTAGACCGAGCGAATTTGTGAGAAAATTTATGATTTAAAGGCGATGTTTTAAAAAGGGTAGTCTAGTTGATTTACTTTAAGAAAAGTTTGAAAAGCAGACACCTTGGAAAATAACTTGTGACGAGGGTTCCATCGCAGAAGCTAGGCACTCTCAAAATTCTACTAAATTAAATTGTAAACTTTCATCTTATTTCTGGTGGACTAGGAGACACGGCTATATCGCAAAATATTGGCAAATTACTCGTCAGGATATCTTGCATATCCTTCCTACGGGCTATCGGATGCGGATAATTCATATATTGCATGAAGGCCACACTTGTCACAGAATCAGTCTCCTAGTTGTAAGTATGAGGTGTACTAAACAGTCGTAATTACTCAACTTTTACCGTCTACAAGTGAATAGAAAAATGGTCTCCGATGGGATCTCCAAACGTCGAGGAATGGTTTTCTACACATAAGGCTGTTCAAAAAAGGCTTCGCCAAGTGAAAGTTCTCTAATTTTAAAAGGCTTGGGAAAGGTGTACCCTCGGAAGACGAAGAAATACTTTGTTGTCTAATCATAGGCGCATGAAAAGGACTCTGTATTCAGACGTTTGTGCTTACCTCTTTGTCGCATACATGGATTCTCATACACGGAACGGAGAAGACGCTAAAATGTATTGCATGACAAACGAAAATTGGCAAACCGTTGAGAAAGTCGGCATTCTTTGTTAAACGTGTTCAGGAATTTTCGAGCAACCTAGAAAGCTTTCTGTTAACAATTTCAGGGTAAAGTACATTCACATAAAGTTGTATATGCATACGAATCGTAAGAAAAGACAGCAAGCACTTTGCTTACGGGTTCGAACTGCTGGCCAATTAACAAGCAAAACTGCTGAGCTAAATATTCGGAATTGGGGCAAACGTAACACCGCGCGAATTCAGGGCGTTTAACGGCGGGGATAACTCGCAAGAGTAACTCCACAAGTTGAACTTGATTATCGTAGTCACCAACATCGCGTATAGCTGCGGCCAGTGAAATACTGAGGACAAAAAAGCGGACATTGCAGGATTTTTTAACAACGCTGCCGTGCGGAGGAACGAATGGTGAATAGATAATGATTTGGTTTGGTTCTAATCCGAAATTCAGTTTCTCAAATTGTGTCTACGTTATTTTTCCTACTTTGAAATAGCTTCATATTCGTTAGATTGATTAAAAACTTAGAAATACAGCAAGGAATTAGAAAAATATGGATAACAGTATCTCGAAATAAAACGACCAGATGGACGAACCAGGTAAACTGCTTGTTGGTGAACTATTATGAAATTTATGAAGGTCAAAATTTACATGTAAGGAAAGGTTCAAAATTATTTGATACTAATCGACTAGTGACTTCAAAGAACTTACTAAGATCCGGAGATTCCTGGTACTGTATACAGCTTCACTTTGGTTGCTGAAGGCAAAACTGAGATCTCGTTCAGCAAACTTAATATCTTGATTGGTGAGAATGAGTAACGAACGCAATGAACCTACGGCGCATTTTAGGAAGACATTTATATTGGAGTTGGTGAGGACGGGCACTATTTTCTGGAGAAGACATTCATACGTAGGGACAAAAACTGTGAGAATTAAACGACATATCATGCTTACATTCCATAGAAACTCCCAGGAGCGGCTAAAAACGTCAGAGAGATAAGTGGTATTTACTTTCACGAATTCTGCAAAGAAGTTCATTATATCGTCAGGAACCAGGTCTGGCAAATTCATCAAATGTTCAAACAGTAATTCTAAACGAAATAAACGCAATTATTTTGCAAACCGCATATTTTCGTAAGATCATTAGGTAAATTGTTCGCTTCCGACGACGCGATTCTACTACCAAATGTCCTAGTAATAGTCGAAAACGCTGTGCGTGAGAGGCAATTTGTATCTTTAAGCCCCTTTTTTATTTCATCAAGCGATTCCTTAGAAAATAATTGTGAGGAGGGCTGGCTGTCAAGATCCAACAGATTTATCCACTCCTCCATTGTACAGAAATATTGAGTTATCGATTACTGATCAATCGTTGATCAATTAAAACAACTGTCTCTGTTACATGCCAGCAGGCGCTCAAATATTGGTCAAGGAACAGCAAATATTGGACGGTGCTATTTACATTGACCTCGTCGAAAAATAAATACTTGACACACTTCTATGTATGTAAGCCACTAGGTATTGTTTGCGTGTATAAAATGTCAATGAAAACTGCTAGATAGATAGTTCCATACATAGGTATTTTATTATGGTATTCGGAAGGGTGCTGCCATTTTAAAAAACGAAATAAAGCAAATAAAATCTGGAAGCGAAGGTGAAGTTGGTAATTTGCGAATTACACCTCAGCTTACTGATGATGATAATTGATACGAAGCAATGAGCTTTGGCGAAATTTGGGTGCGACAGCAGGAATAGTAAACAGACTGTAGAAGAGCAGTCTTAATCAATGTCAGAGTAAGTCACTATGAGCATAAATATATCTAACATCGTGGACTTGATTACTTTCGAGTAACGCATCGATTGTCTAGGTGAAGTCGTACTCTACACACCAGAGTCCCCCTATGTGTCTAGAGGTTTTATAACGCACCTCTTTTAAACGCTTGACGCCACAGACGTGATCTGGCAGGGAAAATCTCGGTAGCCCTGTCGCTCGACACGCTCTGTCTTAGTCTTAACTTCTATATGTGTGCGGCTACTGGTGGGGTTCGAGAATGTGCTCCAAGGCACAGACGAATGAGTCTCGTAACCTGTGAGCGCCCATTTACCATTTTATTATTCGCGATCGAAACTGGCCCTACAACGAGCTCGTAGTGCAGTGGGTTAAAGCGTTTGACTTCTGATGAAGAGGCCGCTTGTTTGATCCTCGGGTGCCTTAACACCTGCATTCTAAACTTACCGTAGTCGATCGCGGTATCTTCCTCTTATCTCACCACATTAATTGTTGCTTCTGCTGTCATCCCATAAGAATAGACAGTCAGCACGGTAGCTTCAATCACATAAAGGGTGAGCTCACATACAGTGAGTGAGAATCCGCATTTTCAGAAAGAGTAACCGGAAAATGGGAGAATTTCTGAGAAATACTACACAGGCTCATTGCCAACTCAGGTTCACTTTTGCGAACAAAGTTGCCAACTGTGCCTCAATGGCTTACACAGGCCCTGAAAATTGATCCTTCGTCTGGCCGTACAGATTTGAAATACTCCCCTGAGAATAAACAGATGCGATTTCTAGGACAAGAAGGTTATTCGCTTGACGTTTCGGATTCCGTCGCGAATCCATCATCTTAGAGAGTAGCATAAGGGGTAATAAATACACAAAGCTTTGCATTATTTATAAGATACAGTCGCGACGCTACTGCATACCTGTGACAATTAACGGCTCTCCTCCCTGCCGTGGATAGTTAACCGCATGTGTACTAACTGCATAATTGCCGGCGTGTGGGTCATCACCTGTTGAACTTTCATCATCCATGCTGCATTTGTGTGGGATTATTGCCCAGTTATCTGGCTCCCTGGCGCTAGAAGACATAGTGGCCTGTAACCAATGTATTACCAGCAAATTTTAGGAGTACATAATTCGCGTATTTCTAGCTTATTAGCTGTTGTCAGCTGCGCATACGTGTAGCGACCCCTTATTCCTACTCATGCTTTCCTCGGACGCCGCGGGCACACGCCATGTCTGGCGTAAACACCACGCGGATGGAAGACACGACAGACAAAGCCTACACTCAAGGTCGAGACTTGTCTGGCCTCACTAGCCAATCACTCTCAAGGTCAGACCAGTGCACAAGATGCGGGGAAGTCGTTTACGCTCAGTCACTTCCGGACACCGTGATTTACTTGCCGGACTGCGCCTCTGGGCTCCGGCCCACTCATGGCTGGAATGCACTTACCTGGGAGTCACTTGCATGTTACTTACATTCTACGCTTGTTCCACATTAGTAAATTCTCCCTGACACTTTGGCCTTTCACGCCTTATCCTATTAACTAGCTTGTACATGTTGGGATACGTTCTATCCTCTATTATCCTGCCGGACCACATCGTACCTCACATACCCAACTCCAGTATAGCCTGTGCGCTCCCCAAACAGGCAAACTGTTTTGGCCAATGAACCTCAGAGCCCAATGTGGG